GTTCTCCAACTCATAAATTTACTCACCGGAATTTTCGACTGAATCACTCAGTCTTCCTCAGCTATCTGACCCAAATGCTGTGAACACGTGATTTTTCCCACGTGTGACGTCAGCAGAGGGTCAAAGGTTGTCTGAAGTCGATATCGCCCCCCGTCTCGAACAGTTTAAAATTCTGCATAATGTAATTTACCAACTCAGATGAACTTTCATGCTGATCATAGCTACAAGACCCCAGCAAGAATACATACAGGAGATACAGACAGTTGGAACTTGACAATTGAGCTTGCCCTGAATGCTAGTAGCTTTCGTTCTAACCACAATGTAGATAATTATGTTTACCGAAGGAAAACATATTGTTTTTGCTCAGTTTCTTCCTCTTCTTCTTCTCCAGTGACCTATGACCTGACCAATGACATGATTTGTTGATGTTCGTCACCATGGTGACTGGTGTTGGGTTACATAATGTTGCAGTTTCATATGGTCTGCTCTGCTCCTGTCACCATATACTAGTAGTACATGTATGTGAATGTGACTAAGAGTTTGAGTAAGAATTAACAGAGCAGACCATGACTTTCCTAGTACGTTTCGTGTACAAAATCATTGATTGCCAAATGACTCAACGGTGAACCCACCATGACAAAGTTATCGACGTCGTCATCCCGTTTACTCATTCTGAACACGTACAAACCAAAACGCAGGCACTCTCCCCAAAGGTTTCTTAGCGGCCAAGGTCGGGAAGTAAACTTGGACTCCATCCAGAGGTCGGAAATGACGTCGACGTTCGGCTGAAACAAAACCAGCTGACAGAGTGGCTCACTGACAGAAGAAGGTTGTCTGCCGTCTGAGCTTCAAATCTGATCGGGACCATCGGGTGCTTTTGAGTGGTAGGTATTCATTTATTCATTTATGACGATTTACCACATTTGTGGAAGGATTGACTTAACAGGTGACTATCACCACTTCAAGATGCCAAGCCTGAGACCAGACTGTAAGGTTTGAACCACTCACACCGGGAAGGTCCCCTAATCTTTTCGATAAGTGCGGTGGGTTCTTTTACGTGCGTGGGGTGTGGCTCTCCCAAACACGGGACCTCCATTTGGATCGGATGGTATGGTGGATCAGATTGTAACATTGTTACCTCCGGGGAAGGAGATATCCTTCCGCGAGGAGGTTTTACTATGGTTCGAAACATTTCTGTCAGCAGCTGTTTCTCGCGATCGGCTGGACGGATTTGTCTGTGGTTCGGTATACGTATTGCTATTGGGCTGCAGATGATGCAGAACGTTTTTGTTTAATTGCATATGTGTTTATGGGCGTCGAAATAAAAGGTTTTTAAGTGCTCCGGACACCCCCGCCATGCTGAAAATGGTAATTACCATGTTGTTAAGGAATGGGGCGGTTGCAGTTTTGGGTCTTAGCATTCAAAAGGGGTCAAACAGAGGGGTGTCTGGTTCCGATAAAAAATTTGGGTGACGGCGCAGCAATGACGGCGCGGGATGACGGCGGGGGTAATGGCGCGGGTGACGGTGCAGGCTGTCAGACTGTGAGACACGTTAATCAACAGTCCATACCGAACCAACC